CTCTAGAAACTTGTCTTTTTCACCCAAAGATTCATTTTTCTCACAGTGACATTACCAGAAACCATCTGTACCATATCCAGAACCTGTTATCACCCTTGCATCTTTCACTAAGTCTCTTAATCTTTCATCATAAAAAATCCAAACTATCATGCTTTTAGGTTTATCCCTTTCAATCATGCATAGGCTTATACTTAAACTACATAATCAAAACAAACAGACCTTTTGGAAAGCAAATAATCACCAGACAACCACTATTTTCATTCAGTCTTCAGTCTCCAAATAGCTAATCACTTTTTTATACTATTTTGTCCTAGTCCCTTCCCTCCCATCCATTTACCTCTTTTCCCCCAGATCATCTTCTCTGAGAACATTGTAGTTGTCCAAAAATGTATGCCTGATTGTTTCATTATCACCATTCACTGGACATTTTTCCAGTGAATGGTGATAATGAAAATGTGCAACTGCTACCACCAGTCTATGAATCCATATGGCTCACAGATTCACTCTATCAATCTCTCCCCCAAAGCAATCTAGTTAATATCAATTCATATTTTCTAAACTACATTTTAGCTTTTTCATTCACAATTAAACCTACATGTTCACTTCTATGATCAGCTGCACTCCACAAGATGAGATTATTTTCATTCATCTCTGTTTCTCTCAGTTTCAGAATATATAAAATATCTGTTTTCTTTCTTTTCATTTATTAATTCATGCTCTTTACCATATACTCTTACATTCCACATCACAATCTAGGTACACCACTGGTCATCAGAAGATAGGCCCATGAATGTTGATCTGCAGTGCCCATCATGGCTTTGGTCAATCAAGGCTTTTATAGCAATTTTTAGAAGAAGGAAAAAATAAAAGTAGATTAGTTTAGTCATACCTGATCCGCTGCAGAATTTCCTGCTAATGGTAAGGACGGTATCAGCCAGTTTTGACACATTTTGACCAGTATGCCACAAAAGCAACTCATGCCCAGTTTGCCATGCTCATGCTAGTCTATACAAGCTAGGATTTTTGAGGTATAGGCTTGCAAGCCAACATACTGTTGACCACACCTCGCTGACTAGGAGGCAGATGCAGTTTGCTGACACACTCAGTGAGTTAGGCTTAGGTGAAAAAGCATCCTAGAAAAATACAGTCTCATACGACTTTTGTATTGTTGTCAAGAAAACTGTATGGCCATGTCATGAAGGTCTAAGAACTGAATTCAGCTCGAAGGAGATGCTGTCTTTCTATTGCTGTGAAATCAAGTGGAGTTATTATTATTCTAATAATAGATTCAAACAGCCCCCACCCTACTGGTATTTCGAAGGGCCTTGAAGACATGGCTCTTTGCCCTGGCCTTGGTGAGGACAACTGACGCCCCTTCTCTTCCTTTTCCTTGTCCCCATCTGGGTTTGCTTCTCTGCCATCGTGTTTCTTTCTCTTGTGTTTCTTGTACTGTTACTTGCTTTTAAATGTTTTAAATGATTTGTAAACCGTCCAGAGTCCTGGGAGTCACTGGGATGATGATGATGATGATGATGATGATTGCAAGAAGCATGCCCTCTAACAGTGAAATGTTCTTTTCTTCTACCCAAGATATATTAGGTCCACACAATATCTAAATCTTATTAACTGTTTTTATGCTTTGATTGTTGTAAAATACAGGATTTCACTAAAAGAGGAGAACCAGATTCTGTTCGATGTGATACAAAGCAACAGCTTCTTGAGAAGGGATGTGATGGGAATATTATTTTTCCAGAAAGCTTTGCTCACCCCTTTCCTTCTGATCAGCCAAATAGGAATAAACAAATCTACCCTGAGGAAGTTCAGCTGCGTCTAAGACCAGGTATCCCATAATCTTAACCTCAATTCAGAGAATTAGGAAATGGCTAAAAGGGATGACTGTAATTTTAGGACAGAAAGGTATATGACACACATGTGACTTTTTCTGCTTCTTTACACGTATTTTTTATAGAAAATTAGTATAGATCCAGCTTCAAATATATGACATTTTGATTTTTCTCATTCATCAGCAATGTTTAGACAACATGACTAACTGCTAACTATTTCCCAGGGCAATTCATTCACCATGCCTTTGTGCAAGCTGGGCACAACAATGGATGCTAACTTCAGTCCAATTAATTTCAATTATCTACTCTAAGATTGCCTGGTTTTCACTATAATAAAACACCATATGCGCCTCTCAGAATTTGTATGTCAGATCTGTACATCCCATATGAAAATTATGCAAATTAAAGAGGATGGGGGATATGCATGTGACCTGTGTGTGTGTATGCACAACTGTTGCTGGCTTGCTCTCTGTTTCTCTCCTGAATATTCTGTGTCCCCCTTTCATTCTCTGTGTTTCTCACTCTGCTCCTGTCCTCACACTCTGTATCTTCTCCTGGGACTTAGGTAACTCCAGTGATGCCTTCTTTATCATTCTGCCGCACCTTGGTCACCACATGACCACCATGTTGCTTTCTTCTGCCCCTGCTACTTTCATGGGTTTTTCACATGTCTCACAATCAGCTATTCAGCTTGCACTGCTTTACTTCAGAGAAGCATCTCTAGCTTTGTGAGATGTGGTAAGTTTTGGGTAAATGTTCATTTTCTTCCCTTTTACCAATAGAACAACCTGCTGTTTTTAATGTGACATTCCGTCGTGGTGAGGATTATCCAATAGATCTCTATTATTTGATGGACCTTTCATTCTCTATGGAAGATGATCTGCAAATAGTGAAGAAATTAGGAGGGGATCTCCTTAAAGCTCTCCAAAGTATTACCAAACGTGCACGGATAGGTATGTGCTTTCTTCTAAAATATATATGACTGTCTTCTGTCACAGCAGATGGAAGCACTTAACCAACTTTAGCTTATTTTGAAAAACAGCTAAGAAGGGTCAGACCCAGCTAGTGTTCAGTGAGAGATGACCCTGAAATCCTAGAGCTGTTGGCTGGATAGAAAGTATAAAAAAAATATCCCAGGTGGTGGCAGTGGCAAATGATTTCATATTGCTGCCAGGAAAATGGCATGGCTGTGTCCATGCAGTGATCAAGAATTAAGTTTGACTTGAGTGAGTCTCTGCTTTTTCAGTTGTTTAAAGCTACTAAGATTCCACTGAGAAATTCTCTAGTGTGGGACTGGTATTTCTCATATCATAGTTAACAGCTCTTAATCTTGCATTAAGGATTTTGAAGAAATATCCATTTTTAGAATGTTAACATTAGATAAAACTATATTTTGTAGTAAGCTTTCTGTGGACTTATATCAAATAAACTGCCAAGCCATAATGGAAATAAAAGAGACTAGGGCTCTAAGAAGGATTATATTATTTTGGGTTTTCTGGTTTTGGGTACTTCTATGCTATTATAGTTTCCACTCTTGAAGCCCTCAAATTTAGTCTCACAATGGTCTGCACTTGTTCCCCACTTCAGCCATTATGAATAATCGCCAAGGCCAACTAATGTTCTTCTGGTGGCAGGAGTGCCAAATCAACCACTTAATGGCACTGCACATACTTGCCCCATCCTCACTCCACCAGGATTATTTTCATAGCAAATAATAAAACATACCCCTGCTGGTTGAAAAGCCCAGTGTGACAGTACCAAGATTTGTAGCTTGTCAGCAGTGGAGAAGTGGAAATGCCAAAGAGAAACCAGCCCACCCCAAGCACCAAGGAGCTCCAGCATCTCAGTTTGTAAAATGGAAGTTTTGCAAAGTGAGATTTTGGGCAGTTGGGCTGGAAGAACACAGGAGCATGATATTGTTAAGAGATCAGCACTAAAGCCATTTGAGGTAGCCTTAGAAATCTCCTCCTCACATCATACTATAAACCAAGGACCTACAAATAAACTAAAAGTTGAGGGATTCAAGAAACTGCTTCTCATACTACTTAATGAAACAGTGGGATTCACTTCCTCAGGCTATGCTAAGAGTCATCAACTTAGATGACTTTAAAAGAATATTAGATAATTCATGGAGGATAAAGCTACTAATGGTTGTTAGCCATAATGATAATATGCCCTCTCCAGGAGAGGTAACATGGATTTGAATAATAGTTATCCTCATGCCCTATCCATAGGTTTCTGAAGAGATATCTATTTGACCATTGCAAGAAACAGAATGCTTGGCTAGGTAGATCTTGGGTGCAGTCCAGCCAAGCTCTTCTTAAGACAATTGGTATCTCCAAAGCAACTCCTTGAAGGACAGAAGCTAGTAGAAAATGAGAGGGAATAGTACTTCTAAGGGAGCATCATGTAATTTGTTTTGCACAACAGCTATATATAAGGAAAATAGCTATTTTTTAATGAAAGATAATGATGGCATAAATATATATTGACCCAAGTGTATCTAATTATCAAAGGATATCCCTTTATAATTTTAATAATTGCATTTACAGTCCTGTTTTTCTCTATAATTTTATTTTTAATGATATATCCCTGCAGTGATTTATGGTTCTCCCATACACACACTCATATTCAGCAAAGTTGACTAGTTTTCAGTAACATTTCCCCATTTTGCTTTAGGTTTTGGTGCCTTTGTAGATAAGACTGTCTTGCCATTTGTAAACACACATCCGGAGAAGCTTCAGAATCCATGCCCAAGCAAGGAGATCAAGTGCCAACCACCATTTGCTTTCAGGCATGTGCTCAGCCTCACAGATGACATACAGAGTTTTCAAGAAGAAGTAGGAAAGCAGAACATATCAGGGAATCTTGATGCACCAGAAGGAGGACTTGATGCCATGATGCAGGCTGCTGTCTGTGGGGTAAGTCTCGTGGCCACGACTGTGTGGAAATAGAATTGATTGATGACCTCTTGTGGTCAAAAATGGAAGATGGTTTTCCTTAACTTAATATTTCCAATATATGCTACTTTTGCATAAATTCTATACAAATACATTTCCTGTTCAAGGCCACTATTGTTGTGATGTTATTATTATTTACACTTACATTATGTTTGTGGTCAGTATGGGCAACTGAAACAGGTTACAATATACAAGTGACAAGCTGAACATAATTAACAGTCCAGAATTTCCATAGGGGCTGCTCAGTTGTTAATCCTAGTACCTGTCTTCTGCCCAGGCCTTTTTTCTGCAGTGAACTAAAAGAAGCCAAATCTTTTGACTTCAGATTTCAGACCTTGCTGTTTATTTAAAGCTTCTTAAGGTCATCAAATATCAGCATCAAGAGTTATTAGAAAGTAAGGTTTTTTTAATGGTTCCTGAGGTGGGGTTCTGTTGTTGGTTCTAACAAACACACTAGCTGAGTTTCAAATGAGAAGTTTTGGGAAGAATAGAAAGTAGAAATGCCTCACATTTATTTTATTCAGATCTCAGCCACTGAAGCCAGGCTGGGGGTAAATCAGGAAACAATAGTTTAGTTTCATGAAGAATTCTTTTGGAAGAAGAAGTCAGGAAGGGAACAATCTGATTAGACTGAATGCCGAATTTCCTTCCTTAGTGGCTGGACAGGCACCTGGGAAAGCTATGAGGCTTGTGTGTCTCAGATCAAAAATCTGAGACAGACTGATTCATCATGTTTCTTCTTGTATGAATTATTTTGTGAACTGTTATCATTATTATTGTTTTGCTTTAAAATCCAGAATAAAATTGGCTGGAAGAATGTGACTCGCTTATTGGTGTACACCACAGATGATGGTTTCCATTTTGCCGGGGACGGTAAGCTTGGAGCCATTTTAACGCCTTTTGATGGAGAATGTCACTTGGAGGAAAATATGTACAAAAAGAGCAATGAATATGTAAGTGCTCAAGTAGCTCCCAGCTAGTATTGCTGTATGATAAGTATTTTGCTGTTTCAATCTAGAGCTGGACTGGACTTCATGTAGAACAGCTGGTCTGCACTGTTTTGCCTCTAGAAATGAGAATCAAGACACCAATCATTTTGACAATAAAAACATGATTTACCAGACTGTGCAATCCAATGCAGTAATAATTATATTAAGGGCACAATTTATATTGTTTTTAATTGCATCTAATTACACAATTGTATACATATTTATTTCTATTATATATTTAGAGTTACATGTGCGTATGTCTGCATGTTTGCACATGCACCCAAACACACACACACACACACACAGTGTACTGCCTAAAAAAAAAAAATCCATGGAATAAAAAAGAGCAAACAAAATATTAAAATGTAGTAGGGGCTATAGACATGTCAAAAATTATTGAAGAGAAGTACTGCAGACCTTGTGTGAACACAGAACCTCTCTGTGTTCATTAAATCTGTTCAAACATTTTTCAGACTTCCTCCCAGGGAGCCCGGGAAAAAATGGGTGGCTTTAATGAATAGCAGAAAGGTGCTGCCCTGTTGCTCTGCTCAGGCAGAGCCCAAGGCACTTCTTCTAAATCCTTGTCTAAGCATGGCCTCCACAGGGCATCTCTCTGTTGGCCATCCCATAACTTCTTTTGAAGAAAGGATGGCTAATGACAGAAGCTACTTGATTGTTCAGGCAAGATGAGTGAGGGTCATGTTCTGAGAATGATCATCTCTGCTCCTATAAAGCAAGAGCTCTCATAATCTGATGCTCTGTCACTGATGCTGCTAGAATTACCAGTCACATGACATGGTGCAGGAGACAGTAGTAGAATATAATAATGAATACACTAAGTAAGCATTCAGCAACTATTCCATCGTTTCTATCTCAGTGGACTTTTGTGGAAAGAAAAGGTGGGAGGAGAAAAAAAGTGGGAAAATATGGGAGAGGTACAGTGGGAACCAAACAATATTTGTACTGTCCAGATGAATTCAGGCTGAGACTGAGGCAGGGTGATTTCTTGTCTGAAAGCCAGGTCAGGTTTAGTGAATGGGTTAAGTTATCATCTGTGTTGATTTGAAAACAGAGCCCTGTTTTCTTGGTTCCTTAGGATTATCCTTCTGTTGGTCAGTTGATACAAAAACTTAAAGAAAATAATATCCAGCCCATTTTTGCTGTTACCAGTAAAGTGTACGATACATACGAAGTAAGTAAATCTCCAGTAAAATAGAACATTTTGTAAATTATGTCATGTGAACAATGCAAATGTTATTATGGTAATACGCTGCATGAAAAATGGTCAGATAATGCTTTTGGTATATTGGTTTTTTACTGGTAGAAACTGAGCAAGATGATCCCCAAGTCTGCTGTAGGAAAACTGCAGGAGAATTCAAATAATATAATTCAACTCATCCAGCATGCTTATGATGTAAGTTTTATTAATCTTCTTATCTTACTTAAGTCCACCTCTAGCTCCTAGGCTGTATAGGATCCCTGGAAGCTGCCTGCAGCCCATCATGTCTGTCTCTGTCTCTTTGACTGTCTTTCAGTTCCAGGCAGCCTGACAATCTGCTTACTTCCTGGCAAGCTGCAGAAGGTCACTCTTGCAGGGAAGAAACAGAAAATCTCATGGCTTCTCATTTTCTCCCAGTCTAGTACTTAATAATAGTAATGTCCTTTGTCAGTGGTAGGAATAAAGAAGCATAATTTCCTCCCTATCTAGGAGCTTAAATTTGCTCTGTGTGTGTGTAGGAAGTGTGTGTGTGCGCGCACACACACACAAGGAAGATCTATGTGTGTAATTTCCTATGCATGGTAAACATTTGTGTGTGTGTGTGTGTGTGTGCATGAGTGACATGTACATGAGGAAAGAAGTGTTTTATGTGTGAATATTTACAATGAAATACCTTTGTGTGTATTTGCATGCATCTGTCACGTGCAGGTATGGCCTCAGGATATGGTATGGCCTTTGCAGTGAAAAAGATTGCCCACCTTTCTTTAAGAGGTGATTAAGTCAGCTGTTTGTTTTGCTCTTTGGAAATATATTTAAATTACTAAAAAAGAATCAGGGAGCAGAAGCAAAAGCAAAAGCAAAACAATTGTTGGCTAGTATAGTTATAGCTATCCTGGCCATTTTGCTTGCCAAGTCAGAGAACAACGGGTTCATTACAGGGACAAAAAAATCCAGCTGTTTGCAAGAAACCAATGTTGTTGTGGCTGTCTCTAGGTTTGGAAGACTATGTAAGAAGGTAGCCATCAGCTGCATCAGTGGGCCATCACCTACTATAAGAAATGTTATCAAAAGAGAGTGACACCAAGATTCTTTTGGGTAATTTGATTAAATTAGCTGGAGGGTGAGAGTGGTGTCTTCTTTCTAGGTTTCAGCCAGGTTTTGTCAGACATTAAAAAGTGATTCCCCAATGAAGATTGGGCCAGGGTTTATGCTATTTATCAAGGAAATTTCACTTAATCAGTGGAAATAAATATATAGTATTCTTGAATCAAGCTCAACTCCTAGTGACTGTATCCATTCAGTTTTCTTGGTATCATTATGGAACTTATTTGCTAGTTCCCTCTTCTGGGGTGTTGTTTTCAACTTCCCTAGCTAGCCAGCAGCCGTGGAATTCTCAGGTGGTCCCCCATTCAAATTCCCACCAGGGCTAACTCTGTGTAGCTTCTGAGATAGCCAAGGTCAGCTAGATGCTGTTATCTGCTATTTCCCAGTGGAAATGCCTCACCTTAATCAAAATATTCACAGAGACATACAAAACAGTTAAGTCTCATTTGTTCTGAGCAGTGCCTCCATTTTCTTCCAGTTTGGGAACTTTTTTCCAGAACAAAATGCAATCTAAACAGAAAGCCTGAGCTAGTCCTTGGATAATGTCAAACACAAATCAAGGCACAAAAACACATGTTTTGGTGGATATCTTTTTTAATCTTATCTCTGCATATTCCCCTAAATATCAAGTTGATTATTTGACAGGTTTATGAAGAATGGAGAAAACTTCAGATCCATTGCAATGGAAAATGAACCCAAGAGATTACTTTTAGCTGCCCTGTTTTTCTCAAGGATACTCATTTTCTATTCTACATGTAAGAAATGTGTCAATGTGAACTTTCAGACAATACAATCGTATCTTGCTTTTCTTCCTTTGAATAATAAAATTTATGATACACAGGTTCCATTCTTCCATTCTTCCATCAACTTTATCTTTATTTCATTTTAGGATTTGTCTTCCAAAATTATTTTGGAACATAGCTCTGTGCCAAGCTCCATCAAAATCTCATATGATTCCTTCTGCCCTAATAAAATACATACAAAGGATCAACCAAGAGGGGAATGCGACAATGTAAAAATAAATAACGAGGTAGGGGTTAATTCATACATTGTTTCTGTTGAAAAGTATTTTGACTGTAGTGTACATGGAAAGAAAAGGCCAGTTTCTCCATTTCAGGAAACATTTATGAAAATGTATTTACTTATTTATTTACTAACAAACTTATTTTATAAGGCTGTTCACCAAGGCTTTTAAAGATTCTGTTGAAAAGTTTGTGGTGTTTTTTTCTTTGAATTGAAAAGATACTATGCTCTGCTTAGAATTCCTTCCCATTCCTTCTTTTTAAACCAATGCAATTGATGTGAAATTACTTGTGGCACCCCCTTTCTTAAGAGATGTAGCTGACTCCCTTACAGATGGCTTCTCAACAGAGCATTGCACCTGGAGACTATCTGCACTGAAGCTGCTTTGTCCTGGGTATGTGTGGTAGCAGTTGTTTTTCCAAAACACAGCTCCTGCTCAAGACAAACAGTACCGAACAAAGTGCAGTTTTTTATATGGCAGTCAAGGTATCTTGTCTGTCTGTCTGTCTCAAACTAGGGCTCATTGATTGATGGACTGATTAATCTGTAGTTCAAGACTGTGAAACAGACCAGTCTTTTTAGCAACCCTCCCCACTCCAAAGAACAAAAAGGGATTTGAGATCGGTGTGGTTTATCACTAATTAGTGTGTATTACAATTCAAATATAAAAACAAATCATGGTATCTGCTAAAGTGAAACTAACTTCCTGCTTTTACACATGATACCTTATCCTGATTTACCTTTACATACTAGCTCCATATGTTGACTATGTATTTGCCTCTGTGTGTCCATATATCCATTCCCTGTTTCATACTCTTGGTCCAAATCAGGCACCCTTTGACCTCTTTTTTAAATCCATGTGTATGGATATACATTAATGTTTAAATTTGAGAACTTATTCTTAAGGCATATCTCTTTAGTTTGGCCTTGTACGTAGTTTGGCCTTTTGTAAGTAGAATTTCATTGATTCCATATGGTACTGTGGTTATTTGTATGTTTTACTTTTATTTAACCAAGTGACATTCATGGAAAAATAACTTGTAAGTAGTATAGATAAGTAATTAATGAAGAACTGTGTGCCTTTACTCATTATTTTAAACATCATTTGAGACTAGATGGAGCAGTCCTTTATTTTCTTACAGATTACCTTCCAAGTGAAAATTACAGCAACATCATGCATTGAAAATCAGACTCTTACTCTCCAGCCTCTTGGTTTCACAGACTTCACCACTGTGCGTATACGCAGTCGGTGCAACTGTGAATGTGATGAGGAAATACCAAGTAAATCTGACTGCAATGGACAAGGGAGTATAGATTGTGGGATTTGCAGGTAATCTAAGTATTTTAGCAACACAAGCCAAATATTTGTTATCTTATGTAAAGGTAGTCTTTGGGTTACGATGACAGTTGGGATCAGAATTTCTGTTGCTAAGCAATGTGGTCTAAAGTGCAACATCACGTGGCCGCATTGCTTAGCGATGGCAATCCCAGCAGCCCTGGCTGCCACTGAACCCCAGGACCATGCAGGTCGTTAAGTGGGAAGAGGCGGGAGTCCTGGGCAAGGAGTGTGGGGAGCTGTGTGGGTGCCACAGGCAGGCACAACAGAGTGCAGCTGTGTGCAGGTGCCATGGGGGGGGGGTGAGGGGTGCTGAGGATAGGCTCTACAGAGCGCTAGTGGGTAGGGATCTTCCCTGGGATCTCGAAGCCTGTAGCGGGGCTCCTCAGGAGAAAAAGTGGTGGGAGTGAAAATACATTTGCTTGCTTGAATTTTCCAAGACAAGGAATTTAACATGAAAATAATGAATAGTAATTTTAAAAAGTACCTTTTTTTTCGGTGCCTTTGAGTCAGTGTTGACTCCTGGTGACTGCCTGGACAAGTTCCTGCAGTTTTCTTGGCAAGATTTAGGAAGTGGTTTGCCGTTGCCTAGGGTTGAGAGAGAGGGACTGGCCCAAGGTCACCCAGCTGGCTTCATGCCTAAGGCAGGACTCGAATTCATGATCCCCCAGTTTCTAGCCTGGTGCCTTAACCACTACACCAAACTGGCTCTCTGAGTACCTACCTAGCAAATTTTTCATACTGAATCATTTTCTTATCAAATTCACAAATCTCTCTGGGCAATTTTCATTTTTTAACACATGCATACTATATAGAAATTTATTACAAAGTTATAAAACAGAAGCTTATGAAAATAACTGGAAATAAAACATATCTGATTGTAAATTAGAAATGTAATAGTTGCCTCAAGCCCTCGTGATAGTTCCAGGTGAAATCAAATGGTAGCTTACTAACCTGAGAAGAATTTGCACTCTGTACATAGGTCTGAGCAGCAGACACACCCATAGGCTGGATCCTGAATAAAAAGAAACTAGCAGAATAATTCTGTGCCTTTCCATCCAGAAGTAAAACCCAGCGGCATTCTTTTTTGATGAGTATATATGAGATGCAGCCTGTGTAGCAACAGATTGTAAATACTGCAACAGGCAAAGGAGGCTGCAGTTGAAATTAAGGATGCTCAAACTAATGTTGCTTGTTAACTCTATTCTTTGATGTTGAATATTTCTTCTCTCATGCCAGATGCAAAGCTGGCTATATCGGAAAGAACTGTGATTGTAAGACTGGAGGCAAAACCAGCAAGGAACTGGAAAAGAGTTGTCGAAAGGACAATGCTTCAGTCATTTGTTCTGGCCTGGGCGATTGTGTGTGTGGACAATGTATTTGCCATACCATGGCAGATACCAAAAAGCATATTTATGGTTCCTTCTGTGAGTGTGACAACATGAACTGTGAGCTTCACAATGGTCAAGTGTGTGGAGGGGAAGGTAAGTGACTGATGTAGGCAGATTATGAAAATACTGAATTTACCTCTTTTGGCCTTTGATACTATTACTCCAGATGTTCTTACTACAAGCTCTAAAGCATATCATTTCCACTACATTCTCTATGTTATTTTTCTGCATTTTACAAAGAACTATATGACTAGCACTTTGATCCAGACCATATATATAATTTGGAAGTGAGTCAGCTGATATCAATGGAATGAGTTTTTGTCTTCCTGTGAATAAATATTGACCATTTCCTTTAGAATGTTGTTTATTTTGCAGTGCTTCAACACCTAATTTGTCAAGGACAAACTCTTCTTGCATAGAAAAGCACTGCAGTGTTTTTCACGATAATAAGAATTCCAAGACTTCTGTGCCTGCAGTGGATCACTTGAGAATGTGGGCCATGTGGAGCAGAGCACTGGCCTCCGTTTTAATGTAGTAACCCTTTCTAGATCATTTGGGTGTTATGTGTCAATGATAGATGCAACAAATGCTTTCTGTCCTAACCTCTCCAGTTTCTCTCTGCAGCACGAGGAGTCTGTGATTGTGGGAAATGCAAATGTAAAGGAGGCTTTGATGGCACTGCTTGTCAATGCATATCTTCAACAGACGGCTGCGTGAATAAAAATGGGAATGTATGCAGTCTGCGTGGGGAATGTCAGTGCAATACATGCAAATGTAATGGACAATATCAGCCCCCTTTCTGTGAAGAGTGCCCAAGTTGTCCATCTCTCTGTACCAGAAATGTGTAAGTGATGTGAGGGAATTCTGCACTTTGATCCATCTTCTTATCATCACTTAGTTTCACTTTGCTATTTGTGATATAACTGGTTATGGGGTTCTAAAAGACCATACTCTCTTGTTCCATGACTTCTAGATTTACTTAGTAGCCTTTGTTGAAAGTCACTGTCAGAAACCTTTTGAGAGTACAAGTATCCAAGGAACTTGGGACACAATGAGCTGCAGTAAACATTTTGCTTGCACACTTCACTCCTTTAGTGTTGCTATAAGGAGAAATTAGATTATTTTCATTTCTTTTTTAAATTACCCATAATTTATCTTGACATTTCAGTAAAAAACAAAAATTCTGTAGTTAGTCTTGGTAAGACCATCATTTATGAAACTAGGTTACTTCTGCTAACCATATTAAAATTAGCTAGAGTTTAAGGTTTAGAAAATAATTTAAACAATAGTTAATGTAATTATCCTACTTCAGGTAATTAGGATAATCAGATACATTATGCAAAGACCTAGCTTTCTGGAAAAGGCTCTAATGCTGGGAAAGGTGAAAGGAAAGAGTAGAATAGTGGCAAAAAGGATCAGGTTATGGACAGATTGTCACAGAGAAAATCTATGGTGGCCAAGAGTTGACACTGACTTGTTAGCACATAATGTCAACCCTCCCAGGTAGACCAGACAGGAAACACAACCAGATAAGCTAATTCTACTTTATTGTAAGGCTATATTAACATCTTGCAAGTCTGAAAGTACAGATCTCCTGCTGTCTCCTTTACAGCCTGAGAAGTTAGAGAGTGTCCCTTCTGAGCCTCTTTCTTCATCCATTATGTAACTATGGGCTATGCCCTCTCTTCTCTGACCATTCCCTAAGCAGCATCTCTTCACCCTGTTTCTCAGCTTTCTCACATATCATTACACATAATCAATCAATCAATCAATCAATCAATCGTTAATCTAATAGGAAAGATTTTGTTCTTCTAATGGAGAGAGAGAACTAGGAAGTACATTGTATGCATAGTTTATGGAATAACTCTTATCCACATATAAATAAAAGTGGATATTCTCAGAAACCATTTAAATACTGCATTTGCACTGCTTTGGACTCTTCCTGCATTGTATTGATTTAAGCTTTCCAGCTATTTTTGTTTTAGTGACATTTAGTCTTGGGAAGTATGCAATCCTGGCTTAGAATGTTAGGGTTGATTTCTTCTCTTCCTCGGCTTTTAATCTTCCCAGCAGTACACAGGATCTGTATTGGCCCCATCTTTAATTTGTTTGATCAGAGAGCAAAGAGCAAATCTGCTGATCTTTAAAGACTCAGTGAAGTAATTTTGAAACCTGTCAGAAACCTCTTCATTCTGATCATCATTAATGAGATTTGAGGCTGTTTAAATGTTACAACAATTCTCCAGCAAGTTTTTCAACTGAATATTCAAATGATTTCTTCTATATGATTTGAAGAAATTTAGCAACACAACATTTGGCTAATGAATTAATTATAGCTGATGACTTAGCAATTTACTTCTGTTCATACTGTTTGGTGCTAGTTGCACTATGCAGATAAGAATAGGATCCTCTGAAGTTTTCTTTGTGAGGATAAATATTAAAGTGGTATAAACAGGGCTGTGTCTTGACCTCTTTAATTTCTGTATCAAAAAAGTGATATGAATGTTCATGTCTTCAGTTCTTTCCTCCATCCATATAGAGCGTGAAAAGTCAGGTGCCATAGGCCAATCACAATATGTTTTATTAATATTTTTCAGAGAAGATGTTACCATACTTAGGAGTGTTCAAAGGTAATGTGTGAAATGAGTAAGGAAGTGTTTAAAAGAAAGTGCAACCAATTTGAACATTTAATGTAATTTATGATAAACTGTCTATGGGGCCTGACTTTTGTACAGCCATCCCCTCCCCTAGTCAGCATACCACACAGAACGGCTGCATTATTTTTAGTCCCAGCAACCACCATAAACAAGGTTGGGGGGCTGTTACTTCCTTCCCCAATTTTCTCCCTTTTGAATTTTTTCTCTTTGGAAGGAAAAAATGAAATAAGTGTTGTAATTAGGCTTGACATCAAGACAGGCTCAGAGGGGTCTTACCTATCCCATCCCATTCCCCCCCCTTTTTTTTTTTTGCATGTGCATACCCAGTTAGTAATTAGAGATGAAAATTATTGAGGAAACAGAGATGGGAGTTCCTTGAAAGGGCTGTTTTGGGTGGAGTCTCATTACGATATCACCTCAGTCTCAGTTCTACCCGGTAAAGAGTTTGCCATACCAGTTGACCCGGGAGAGTTAATTTAACCCCCAGGGAGACTTCATCTATTTGAGGTTAAATCAAACTTGTCGTCCCCCTGTCCTGGAACCTAAACAGTATGTGTTTAACAAGTTTGGGTTCTCTCAGCTTTGCATCCTCATCATTTACAATATGCCACAATATGCTACATAGAATATAGGTCCATTGCATCATGACTCTATTATGAAACTTTTTTAAAAAAGCTTGCTTCTTGTTGGTTTGTTTTTAGTTCCTGTGTTGAATGTCTTGCCTTTGGGAGTGGGCCATTTCAGAAGAATTGCTCTGATGCTTGTTCAAATATTACTGTTCAAAGTAAAGTGTTATCAGAAGGTAAACAATGCAAGGAAAAGGATTCACAGAATTGCTGGATCTCTTACACAATATTTCAGACTGATGGAGTTGAGCACTATACTATTACAGTCAATCCTGAGAAAGGTATGCTTAGTGCCACACTACCAAAAACTAACATCTGCTCTCCATTCTAATATTTATTGACTAGAAATGACATTAGTGCTATGCAGTTGCGGGACACAACCGGTACCTGAAGCAGATCTTAATTTGCCCTTCACTTTGTAAGTGGTGGGAAGAGAGGCAGCTTGTATCGCTGAGGATTTTTAGTGGATCTTATGAGGATTTCTCTTCCTGGTGAGGGAAGACTTGCTCCTATAGGAACAAGGAGTCAGAGTTAGGTAGGGTTGGGTGGAAAGCCCCTAAGCAGAGTAACATAAAAGTTGTGCCCCCTTAAACAAGTTAGGATAGCTCCTTAATGGGATGCTGTACTGTACCACTGAAAGAATACGGGGCCTTTAAAGAGTTTCTAGAAATCTTATATGGAGATTCAGGATCTGTCATTTTTGTAGAAAAAAAAATGAAAATGCATTATGTATATTTTTAGAATTCTGCCTCTTTATCCATTTAAGGAATGTTTACTACCAGCGTGTAATACATACAATGGATACACTCTTCATATACATACATAGCTGTACTTTTGTTGCTCAGCCAAGTGCACATTTTTAAAATCGTTTTTCTCTCTTCTCTTCTTAGAATGCCCCCAACCCCCTAACATTGCAGCCATAGTGGGGGGTACTATTGCTGGAGTGGCTCTGATTGGGCTCCTCCTCCTCATGGCTTGGCGGCTAGTGGCAGAGTTGATTGATCGCAGAGAATATCACAGATTTGAGAAGGAGAAGTCCAAGGCTAAATGGAATGAGGTAAGGTGTTTAACCCCTGCAGAGAGATATAAAGGAAGGAGAAGACATACTTGTGTCTTTCTTCCTTCGTTTGAGTTATTAATCAAAGTAATTGATTCAGCTTGGTGTACTTAGACAGGCCTTTCAAATGGGTTAACATAAATAAGGAAGAAATATTTACATAACAGAGAAGGTGTTAGGTTACATGCTGAAAACACTAAAACTCCTGTGCAATGAAAACAGGCAGGCATCCTAGGGTCTTCCAAATACTGCTGAATTACTGCTCCTAACATGCTGAGAATGATAGTTTGGCCACATCTGGAGAATCTCCATCCCTGATTTAAAACATGCCATCCAGAGATAATGACTTATTTGTAGCATCAGTTTGGAGATTCTCTCATTAATAGTCCTGTTTCCTTGTTGTTGTTGTTTAGTTTGGGTTTTGTCAAACTGTTAAGAGAGCCCAAGTGTGTCTGATTGTCCATCTGAATCCTGATCTGTTCTTGAGAGATTAGGTGTTACTAGCAGCTAAAGATAACTCTGACGTTTTATTAACAGGCTGACAATCCTCTTTTCAAGAGTGCCACTACCACTGTTGTGAACCCCAGATTTAATGGCCAATGAAGTTAAAATTCAGCAGCAGTGCAAAACACCAAGAAACTCTTCAGCGGAGAAACAGAAGATGAAACAATTTGCCATGGTGCTTTTCTTAAACCAGCTGTTATTGTTGTATAGTATCAGTCATTATGAAAAAAACAATCTTTGGGTTTTGCAACATGCTTCCATTCCCACATTTTTTTAAATCCTAAATGCTACAAAACTTAACTGCATATCACAGATGAAGCACTCAGAGCAACTAGGTGTCCTCCATTCATTACCACTCAACATGTGGAGATTTGGATTTTGGTTTGAGTAATTATTAAAGATCTGCTATATTACCATATGTAAATAAAATTGGCAACTGCTACTCAGGGAGTTATGTTAATTAATCATCTTACTGTTTATAAGGCCTATTTTAAGGTAAGTCACATAGTAAGAAAATAATAAGCCCTACCACAAACCTTCCCCAAGTAAGTACTATGTTGGATTCAAAACGATGTGTGTTGTTGATTTGTTCATCTCATGAGCATTTGCAATTCCATCCATCTGTCAAAGAGCTCCAATATTTTGCACTGCGAACTATTTTTTTCCTGGGACTCCAAAAAAGAGAAGAGTGTATCAGAGTAGAGCATTCAGTCCCTTTGCTTTAAACTGCTGAGTTCACTGCCTCAGCGAGCTTCCAGCACTTAACATATTTCTAGCATTGCTCTTTCCATACTTATCACCCATATGCACCTATGTGTATGCTTGTCTTGTGGTTCACAAAACCAGGTGGGTAGTCAGAGAATGTTGCTTTTGGAAAATATTGATAATTGTGGAGTAGCCTAAAATGGCTTTGGCTCATCATGATTGTAAGCAAGCTTTGTGAGGTCTTATCCCAGTACTGTAAACTCCAAATTTAGTGTTGTGTTGCAAGGGACCATTCTAAAGCTATTAGCGAATGAACTGAAAACTCCACAAAGCATTTTATTCACCTGTTGCTGAATCAGCAACCTTGGGATCTGAGAGCTTTGGGGAGCAGATGGTGAGCTGAGGGCATGGCCAGAACATGCCCCAAACAGAGAATGAGCTTCCTTGAATGTGAGTTACCAAAAGTGCTAGATGCCCCTTCTGGATTATCAGTCGGCCATTCAAGCCCCAGGAACAGGACTGTTTTAAACAATAACATACTGGCAAAAATGTACTTTCTTTTCTCTTCCACTACTCAGAATGCCAAGTTAGTCTGGAAAAATGAGCTTTTGCCAAAAGAACTATCCACTGAGTGATAAGACTAAATGGTAATTTCCATTTTCTGGTTTAAGCTTAACATTAACAACTATATAAGCTGTTGAATATAGGGATTTCTTCTACTGAAAAAATATTGATAGGTCCACAAATTGTGATCAGATAGCTTTTATTTGGACTGTTGAATAAATCTGGATTCAAACAACATGCTAAGTCATAAATCACGTAAAGTATATTATGACTTGATGAGATGCATGTGCAGAGTTCTATCCTAGTTTTTTCACATTGCATTAAGCCTTTTTTTATTAGTTTGGTTAAACTGGTTGAGTTCACAGGACATAAGCAAATGCAAACCCAACCATTGTATGTGACATGGTGGCAGGTGAGATATCTGAAGGCTGTGTGCTTCATTTTTGAACTATTGACATTTTTGGCATTGGAGCCATCAATTGCTGGCATGATAGCACAAATTCCAGATGCTACATGAAGAATAGTATTGTCACGATTCATTTTAAGAAATCTTAACTAATAGAATGTTATATGAATTAAACTTCCTTGTGGTAAAAAAACTGTACAGATTGATTTTAAATCATGCATAAGGCCTTCAGTACAACCAAAAGCAAAGTCAAGTGTGGGAATGGGCACTTCAAAAAAATCAGGCAAGCTGTATGCAACCAGGATGAAACAAGGTAATCAGGAGTCACTTTATCACTGTTTTGTCTGACAGCTTGTCAGTTCCCAAGATGCCGTCCACAGGGAGGGCAAATGGCAAAACAATCATTGCAACCTAAACTCTCCCCTTTTGTATTAGCACTGCAATGTCTCACATGCATATTCATGTAAGGAGCAGAACTTGCATTGTGATGTCACAATGCACATACCATTGTTTTGACAAAATTTTGGTTCAACGCAGATTCCAGTTACTTAGTAATGTACATGACCACTGATGTTAATGCATCACTGAAATCAATAAAACTTTTACTGATTTAAAACCATTTCAATTTGTAATTGTAAACCCACGCTTGCGAGTTGTCAACTATACATTACTACCAATAAAGCTCATGCCCTATTTCAAATTGTGATCAAGCGTGTCATGTTTGTTGCACTAAGTCTAAGACATGAAAGGGGTTGTTTGGTATCAGTTTTATTTCCCCTTAAATTATGAACAGATAGAATCTTCTTAAGTTTAAAGGCAAGCAGGAGAAGATTCAACTGGGATTATATATGAGATTCAAGTATGTAATCAGAATTAACAACTGATTCAAATACCCCCCATTTTCCTAGTACATACTCTCTGCTGCCAGCATTCTTCACAACTTTGACCCCCCCACCCCATCTTCTCAGCCTCTTCCTGCTGGCCCATCCACCTTGGATCCACCATTCATCTAAATCATATGTATTTTTATAATATTTGGGAGATACAACTTCTAAAGCAGAGATTAATTATTCAGAAAATATTCAGTTCTATCTCAAATGATTTCTGGAAGTTTTCGACCATTTTTAAAACTATCTCCACAAGTCCTTTATGCGGAAGTCCACTTTGGGTAATTTTCCATTTCTGAACAGATAGATGCCACTCACTGCTGCTGTTACCATGATGAGGAAGAGGCCTCTATTGATCACCTTTAGCAAAAAAAAAAAAAAAAAAATCCAAATTTTAGTAAAAGATCTGAAAAATATTCCAATGGGGGACAGTTGCAATTATTTTGCCAACACTTTTATGAAGTCTTAAATCTGGCTATTTAAGGCTATTGTTTTGTACGCACAGCAATGTCGGTCCCAATGAGACTTAGGTTTGAGTCCAACATGCATTTCCTTGCATCCTTAATTACCATTTTTATTTCTCTGTTACATCATTCCCTATTTTCATCTGTCCCCTTAACTCACCATCAGACTCCATAATATAGAGGTACGCAGTATCTTGTGGACTGGGCAGGATATGGCACAAGGGAAATCTGCTGATAACAAGCATACCTTCATTCTAGCTCGTTAGTTCTGTCAGAACTGTTTAAGTTGGGCTCACATTCCAAGAAGGAAGAGGGTCCTGGGGAGGAAGAGGGTTTCAGGGCAGCCCCAGTGATACTTGCATTTCTGGTGATTCTGAACAGCCTCAGGGCTCATAAATTCTAGCTAGGGCATTACATGTACTGGTTGCCCTGAAGTGTGGCTGGTCATGCTATCTATCACCCCCAAGCCCTAATGAACAAAGAAGGGATGAGTCAGGTAGGACCTTTAGGTCTACTGGAAAACTATTTGGACATTTATATATAATTCCGTGGTACAGGCTATTCTAAACTTTCATCTTTACCAAATCTAGACTGAAGATAGATATACTTCTCCACTTCCTCATATTTATTTGCTAAGAAAATAAATGCTCTGTGTACCTATTCCAGGCAAATGCATCTAAATGTGGTCTACCTTATTCTGCCACTTCCATCTTTGCACAGCTTCATGGTACCGGATTCTGGAGAATGTCACCTGAAGGAGATTACAAAATCACTGCATGATTCTGAATGTATCCCAGAAAGAAAAAGTAGACAACCGGAAGAGAAAATACATGAAAATCCTGCAATATTAAGTGTTAGTGTCTCACCATAGTATACAGAGGAATGATGGTGGAGGGCAGGAGGGCATGAAACCAATTGTCTATGTGCTTTCGGAAAATGAACCACCTTGAATTCACATGTTCCCGCATCTGAAACCAGAAAGAGATGCATTTGCATTTGATAACATTGCCTATCATTCAATTGTCAATCAAATATTGTTTAACTTACCTCTATATAATTATACATGGCTAAGTCTGAAATTGCATGATCATCAGGTACTCTCAGATTTGAGAACATTGGAAGGCAAACACCTAAGGAAAAAGCAGGAATGTGACAGGCTTTCTGCCGAGAGAAACCTTAATATGCCACAGAGTATACAGATAAACAGTAGTTCTAGTTAGTTGTCCTTCTCTGGTAAATACTGGTTACACGATTTTTCATGTTCATTTTGCAGCTTTATGAGCATACAATGCCTACAGGTATGGTCTGTGAAGTGATTACAGTAAATATATTCTATTTCAGCCCATCTCAACTCAGGTTCTGCAAGAGATTGTGACCAAAACAAAAAACAAAACACAATTTTTAAACATTTCCATGCCACACAATGCCAGTGCTTGCAGTGATGGCAATTTTTATGTATCATGACTCAGCTGCTGGCCTGCTGGTTTGCTGCTGCTGTATAATAATGTTATAATTTTGTAACTGCTAGGTCTTTATTTGAGCCTCATGTCACTCACTAAGAAAAGTTTTTTTCAAAGTCTTGTATAAAGTTGTGTCTATATTTTTATTCATATTTCTTAGGGCTAAGGCTTTTAATAATAACTTTTAATAACTTCACTATTCAATGTTATCCATACATTTTCATGGTATAAATTTAAAATCAATGTATGGCCTTTATTTTTTAAAAAATGTAATGGGCTTACCTTTAGAAGAATTAAATCCCATTTTAGCTTATACCAGTTATTTAATAGAAATTTAGTATGAGTGCCTTATAAGTTTTTAGAATTTATGAAAGGAAAGAAAAAGATTAATTTTAAGAAAGATAAACTTAGCATAACTGCCTGTTGTTTTTTCCAGAACATGGGGTGGGAGAAAGGGGGCTAATATTTTAAAGTTTTAAATAGGGAAAAACCTACTCTTACATATACCATTACTCATTAGCATCTTGTAGAGAAGAAATTTGTGGTAAGACTTTTAGGCTTACCTGTATATGGAAAAAAAAAAAAGTAGGATTTTTTAAAAAAGGAAAAACTTAAGTTTCCTCTATCTACATTACTAACTTACATTAGACTTGACATCATTTGTAGGGGAGGAGAAATCAAACAAATCAACAAAAAAACCCAGACCCATGGAAAAATATAATTCTCTATTCCAAAGACCACCAACAATCATTACTGTATTAGATTATTATATCTACAATTTACTGGTCATTGCTAATGTGCCATGAGCTGTAGAGATAATACTTTTTACGCAGGGGTTCCCTAAGGCCTGAAAATTATTTCAAGGGTTTCTCCAGGGTAAAAAGGTTGGGAAGGGCTGCTCACATTCTCAGCTCAACCTCCTGCACAGGGCTGTTTTTTTTTTTTAGTTTTTTTTAAATCCCACCTTTATTATTTTTATAAATAATTCAAGGTGGTGAACGTACCTAATACTCCTTCCTCCTCCTCTTTTCCCCACAATAACAACACAGGGAGGTGAGTTGGGCTGAGAGAGAGGGACTGGCCCAGAGTCACCCAACTGGCTTTCATGCTTGCAAATCAGAGGCAGGAGCATTATGTATGCCACCTTGTGCTGTACAAAATAAAGGCAATATGCAAATCTAGCAAATAAACAAATTTCTCAGGGTTGTTGTATACATAGGTTTAGTCTCTCTTGAAAGGCTGCTTTCAAGATAGCTAGACCTGTGCTTAAATAACAGGGCTAGCCTTTGTCCTGTGCTGAACACAAGATTGACTTAAATGGGACAAGAGCTGCCAGCTTGGGTTGCTGGTTGTCTAAATAAATTACACACTTCTACAGCTTCTGCTGACAAGGGGTTTGCCTGGCTGTACTTTCTCTGTTTCTATTATTCTGGGGGTCAGAATAACTCCCAGAATATCAGTGCCCTTTTGACTATTCCTGCACTATGTTCCATGGCTGTTCAGGTTTCTGCCAGCCATAGCCACTCACCGCCAGTGCTGCCATTCTCTTGCAGGGTTTATCAGCTGCAGCTCCCTCCCAATTCACCCCGCGCCCCTCTTTTACACCTTTTACACCTGACACATCCCAGGCATGGAGGAAGGGCACAGGTATTTATTTATTTAAGCAATTTATATGGCTGCCCAACTCACTCAGTGACTCCGAGTGGCTTACAGGAATAAAAATCCCAAATATAAAATCCACTACACCTACACCCCTGGCAACAACACATTTACACTAGCCATTTGATGGGCTCCAGATTGACCTGGGACCCCCAGGCCCATGGGCAAAACCATGTCTTCAGGATCTTCAGGGACAGCATCAAGGTGGGAGCCAGGGTTATCTCTGCGGGGATGATGTTCCACAGGGAGGGAGCCACCACAGAGAAGGCCCTTCTTCTTGGTCTCACTAGATGGACCTCCTTAATGTGGGGGAGACACATACCCTGCCTCTCCGATCTGGTGGGTCGAGCAGTTGAAACTGGGAAAAGACAGTCCTTCAAATAACCTGGCCCCAAGCCATGTAGGAGCAGGAAGGAGCTCAGAAGAGTCTCCTCTGGGTCTGCAATTTGCCAGCCAGGGAATTTGGGGATAAGGGGTTCCCACTCTTTCAAATCCCACCACACCATGCATTAAGCAGTGCAATTATGTTTCCCACCCACAGGTGACACTCAGTAGAAGGGAAATAAAGGCAGGGGAATACACCAATGACTTCCTTAATTTGACTGTATGGACTGCCCCACTTGCTGGCCTCATCACTGTACTGAAGCAGAAGAGGCCTCAGCTACTGGAGCAGTGCTACTGATGCCGGCATCCTTTTTTGCTGACTGAAAAACTAGAGGATAACATGCTAATGCAGCTTGAGGTTAGGGTTAGGGTTACAGATTAATGAAAAACAATTGGTCTAATTTAAAAATACTTTGCCACAACAGGAATTTATACAGGCACAGAGAACATACTTGTCACTGTCTTAAAACTTACACAACAGGAGGGAGACTTTGAGCTCCATAATCTGAGATGTCATAAGGTTAGCATAAAAAGATGTAGGCAACTTATGCATGCTGTTTGCTTTAGCCTATTTAACGCATATTTGCAGATATATATTACAGGGCAATTAACAATATTACTCACAGTCCACACGGTGAACAGGAGGTCCTGGATGCTGTTTTAAATCCTCTTGTGGTAAGTACCCATCTTATGGAGTGCTTCGTGCTACAATTCCTTCTTGCATTACTACTGCTGATGGGGGTGACATTTACAAATGCTTTCCTCCCACAGACAGACAGAATAATCATTCAAACCTTTATACTGAATAGACTGTGATACTTGGGAAGTTAAATTCTCTCGTAAAGATTCCTTCCTGTTCAGGAGCAATCACAGTCCTTATCTCATACTCTGCTACACACATCCAGCCCACCCATGTGGGATCCATCTGACCTTACAATTTGCCCAGCACGCAGAGGTTGGGGGCATTGGTTCTTACCCAGTTCTGCAGATGAAGACACACCCTGAATATGTGGATGGGAGAATAGACGATAGAGATACTGAACTCATTTCACATAAAGCCATTTTTAATTTGCATTCGGTAGAATACTGTCTTTTCCAACTAATAGCCACTTACAGAGATCATTTTGAAACTGGTCCATCAGCTCATCAAAGACTAGACAGTCTTCAAATCCCTGGGGGGGAGGGGAAATGCAAGGTAAGTAATAACCTAATTTTAAATAGTAAATTCTAACTCCATAGGTATTGCATTGGGGAAAAGTGTGACATGGTAGATGCCCAAATTACTGTACTTTTATAGTTTTCAAGTGATAAAGTTGTCACGCAGGCTCAGGTAACATCTCCTCAAACCTTGATGATATTCTTTTTGGCCAGTTAGAACAACTGAATGCTCAATTACAAATATTTAACTCACAAGAAAGCAGAAAAATGATGACCTCAACTTTAATAAATCAGAAGTGGGAGGCAATTGAGGAGAGGGCTCAAAGGTTGCCCCAAAGACCTCAAAGAGCAGAGGTGGCCAGGGGCAAGAAGTTTAGCCTGTTGCTTAAGTATCACTATTGTTCACAACAATGACCTTTATCTCAAGAAGAACAGATAAGTAAATAAGAACTTCTCTGAAGCTTGTTTTCACTGTTTTGGATGAACTTACTGTTTTGTTGTTGTTCTTAATCATTCCAGGCACAGGTCAGATCTATTTAAACCTTTGTAATCTTTTGTCTAACCCTCTATGATTGCTCTTGCAACAGGCGTCATTCTCTTCCAGGCTTGCTAGCTTGCTTACTCCATGACCTAGTTGTTCTTCACCTTGATTGCCACAAGATTAATTCCCAGGATCATGCTCATGGTCCCGGCTGAGTCTGTTCTACTCTGATAATTATTCTCCACAACTTGGCAGAACTAGAGTCTTGTTTTTTACTTGACTCATCTTGCTGCTTCATTTACCTAAAAAATTTGCTGTATATATCCAGACTTTGAACTTACTTTCTGCTCTGATAAAACAAGTTTAAAGTCTTGTTCCATATCTAGTGTGGTTTTGGCTGTTAATGTCCTTTCTACTGTTTCTGGTAATTGGTGAGAACCACATCATCTGTGTTTCCCAGTTTGGGAACAATAGTTAAGCAAGGTAAAAAAAAATCCTAGGAAACTATTAGTGCTACATTTTCTACACATAGTTGTAGTTTTGGAGCGTCCTAATAAGCATTAAACTTCTGATCAGTTTTCCCGTTATTATCATCACTGTTTGTTAAGGAAACACTTGAGGTACTTTTATATAATTTAAATTTGGATCTAAAAACAGAGACTCTACTTGATATCCTGTATAAAATGTACTATCTTAACTGTGGAGTCCTTGGTGCTCTCTGAGCTTGGTTGTTTGATTGCAGACATTTCATTACCCAACTAGGTAACACCATCAGTGCTAATGAGTGTGGGGTTTGCTCCCTGTTTATATACAGTAGCTTCTCCTGCCAGTGTTGGTGGGGGTGTGGTTTTCTCCTTAGTAGTTCCTTGATTAGGCTATTGTTTTCTGCTTGATTGTTTGTTAATCCCTGCTTATCTGGGTGTAGGCTGCTGGAGAAGATGTGTTCTGGTCTTTTTGTTTTCTTCTTAGCTTTTTTATTGTCTCTTTTGAATGGTGTGTAAATGTGGTTTCTCTTCTATTGGATACTGTTTTACTACTATTTGGAACAGGACATTATAACCATTCTTCCTCTGTTTATTTTCCTCTTCATACTTGTAATCTTCTCTTGAGGTCTATCTTTTGCATCAGCATCTCAAACACAGCCAATCCAGAAAGGGAAAAACCTGGAGTCTTGGGAGTATCAGCTGATATTCTACACTGAACTCCCTGCTATCCCTACTCTAGTGCTATTTTTCATTACTTATTTGACAGCTCCTCCTTCTCTACTTTTCAAATGCTAAGAGTCACATACAATCAACCTCTTTGTATGCTGCAATCCTTGCTTCTCTAAGCCAAGGCTCCATCATACCTTGGCTCAAGTTCCCCAAGGTAGGTACAAACTAGGCCAAACAACACAGCTAGGAATTGAATCCTTGTGGTAATTCAGGAAGAATAATCACCAGTGTATAAACAGCAGACAGTCACTCAGCAGCATGAGGCTGATACAGAATTTACAATCCCTCCCACTTTAAAACCATCACGTTCTTTTCCCACATCTCCCTCTTTGTAACAAAGCTTTTGTCGTCCTTTTCTTATGCTTACTTGTTAACAGGTATGGCATGTTTATATCCCCTGCATTCCTGCTGAGACTCTCTTGCCCCTAACAGAACCCTGAGACCTTGTCACTGTCCCTTTGCCTTATTGCTTGGCAGCTTTCCCCTGTCACCCTTTTTTCCCTTGCTGTCTGAGCAAATGCAGAAGAAATAGGGCACTGGCTAGTGTGCTTTTTTTTTTTTAAGTGCTCTTTATTGAGAAAAACACAAAGAATTTCAGTTGCAAGGATTCTTTGACTTACAGCGTTCATGCCTTGGCCATAAAAGGGTACGACCGCATGTGCAGCATCTCCCATTAGCACGCACTGAGAGCCAATGTGATACGATGAGCATTTCACAGATACCATAGCCTGAGCTGGTAGCATAAAGTAATCCTGCATCAGTTCTTGCCTGAAATTTCAAAGTGCCATATCACTGATTAAATGCTAAGCAAACATTACCATTTGATAAACAGTTGGAATATGGATATTTTGAAAGCTACAAGGAGAGAGGGTAGTGAGGTTTTCGCACAACTATTTCATAGAAATCCAACAACTAGAAAAGTACATGTATATGTTCAGAACTTGAAAGAATCAACAACGTCACAAATATGTATATTTCAAATGAAAAAAAAAATCCATGAGAAAGTTTTCTTGTTTAAGGTAAACAGTCAGGCAATTGGCTGGGATCATATTTCAAAGAGGAATGACAATCAGTTTGGTTTATTTTTACCTTAGTTTTTCCTTAACAGAGACACCTGCTGGCAATTGCCTGTACTTTCCCTTTTTAATCATTTTTTTTTAAAGTGGACTTTAGCTATAGTAGGGACACCTGTTGGCAATTGTTTGCAATTATGTTTTAAAGTCTTAACAAATTATTGGGTTCCCCCCCCCTGCTTTTTGAGAGGGTTTTTTTTTCCCCTCCTTGTTCTCTTCTCTCTTTTCAGTGATACATCTATACTTTTTTGGGATTTTCATAATGGCAACACGCAGAACATGTTTGGATGCTAGAAGAACTTCTTTGGAACGGCCAATGGAAAAAGAAGATAAAGAGAAGATAAACCAATTTCTGTTAATCTATTCAAATTGATGATCAATGAAATGGGAGCCAAACTGACTCAGTCACTAGATGTTAAATTGGATGCCAAATTTTTGAATTTTGAAAAAAAGATTGAACAAAGAATGGATAAGATGGATAGTTTTGTAAAACAAGTGACTGTAGATATGAAACAGATGTCAGAAGAAATAAACAAATGATAGGATGGAAATCTTCGAGAATAAATCAGCAATTAGAGATTCAGAATTTGAAAGAGGGATGGATAATTTGGCATTGTGGGAGTTGAGAGCGAAAGAGTTCTGTCTGCGATTTAGAGCCATTCCAGAATCACCAAATGAAGATATTAAAAGAAAGTTGACTCACGCGTTGGCAGAATTCTTAGATTGGGAAGAAGAGAAAAGAGGAGAAATTGACAAAGTCTACCAGATTAATTCACATTTTGCTACAATAAGACACATGCCAAGAGATGTCATAGTACATTTTATCAGGAGCAGTACAAGAAATCAAGTTTTGCAACAACATTTTAAATCAAGATTGAAAATCAATAACATAGATATAATTATTTTGAAAGAAATTCCAATTAGAATTTTACATGAAAGAAAAGACTACTCTTTCCTGACTGAGGTATTAAAGCAGAAGATTCCATTTTGTTGGGAGAAATTGGAAAGCGTAACTTTTACTTTTCAACAGAAAAGATTTCGACTGAATACTGTTCAAAAGGCTAGAGAATTTTTGGAAAAATGTAAAAGAGTTTTGGAAGAGGTCCAAATGGAAATCCCAGAGAAAACAGACCAAGATTTGCAACGAGGAGAGGAGCTAGAGAAGGAAGATTTGGAATTAGGCGCTACTGATATGGATTTCTCTAAATTATTTCCCTAAAAATGGATTATAAATGCCTAATGTGGAACATTAATGGGGCTAACTCCCCTCACAAATGCAAAAAAGTATTCCATTATTTGAAAAAATTGAAACAAGATGTAATTTATTTGTAAGAGACTCATATAAGAAATAGAGATACAAAGTACTTAATACTGTATGTAAAAACTTAGGAGAAGAGTTTATTTCAGCAGGACCAAAAAAACCCTAACAGAGTTGTTTTATATATTAACTCTCATTTAAAACCACAACCAATACTGACAAAGGTAGATTTGTGGGAGTGGAAATTGAATTATATGGACTCAAAATTCTATTATGGGACTTTATGCTCCAAATGAAAATAAAACAGGTTTTTATAAAAGACACACAGAACAAATGATAAATTTTACATATGAGAACTGGATTTGATAGGAGACTGGAATGGTGTGGTTTTGCCACAATTAGATAGAACATCTGAGAAGAAAATTAAAATTACCCTAGGTAGATTACCTAATGGATATTTTAACATTAGTGGATATCTGGAGACAAAAAAATGGAAATTCTAGAGAATACACTTATTTTTCTGAAAGACATAGATCATTTTCAAGAATAGATATGATATGGACTTCAAAAAATTTGGTTAACAACACAACTAAAGTTGAGATCTTACCAAAATCTTTTTCTAATCATAACCCTGTGATTTGGAGTTTTAAAAAGAAACTTACTACCTTCAGATGGAGATTAAATGAGATGTTATTACAAAAAGACTGGATAGTGAAAGACTGTAAGAAAAAAATATTGGAATTTTTTGAGAATAATCTAAATAAAGACATGGATTTAAAAACAGTTTGGGATACAGGCAAAGCTTTTATTAGAGTATTTTATTCAATACAATATTGAACTGAAAAAAAAGCATAAAAACACAAGCTTTATTTTACAGGAGATTAAGAGAAAAGAAGAAGAATTAAAGACATTACTGATTAAGACAAATATATCAAATCAAAATACTACAGCAACAACTGTCTATGTTGACAGTAAGAGAAATGTAAACCAAAATGAATTATGTAAAACAAAGGAATTTTGAATTTGCAAACAAACCAGGAAAGTGGTTAGCTGATAAGTTAAGGAAGGAGAAAGAAAAGAGGATGATATTGAAACTTCAAGAGAGAAATATGACCTTAACAGACAATTTGGTTATACAAATTGTATAGCCAAAAATTTGGCTTTTCATCAATATTATTCCAATTTGTATACAAGACAAGACATTTATCTGGGAAAAATAGATTAGTATCTAAAATTGCAAAACTTACCACAACTTACAGATGTACAAATAATGAATGGACCTATAACAATAATGGAACTTTTGGAAGCTATAAAAAAGATTAAACAGGAAAAGCACCAGGGCCAGATGGACTATCAGGGTCTTACTATAAATGTTTTGAGGATGGATTTAAAGTTGATAAAAAGATGTATGGTTTTGAACAAAACAAAGCTGTTTTTGAAACTGAATTGTGTACCAATAATGGACATCTTATTGCTAAACTGTATAAGCTTTTGTTGTGATTTGAAACAGAAGATGAACAAGTTAAAGATTGTATGATAAAATGAGCTAAAATTTTTGGATATACAGTGGTACCTCTACTTATGAACGCCCCTACTTACGAAATTTTCGAGATACGACCAGCTCCGGCTGAGCTAAAATTTTTGGATATACAGTGGTACCTCTACTTATGAACGCCCCTACTTACGAAATTTTCGAGATACGACCAGCTCCGGCCCCAAAAATTTACCTCGATGTGCGAACTCCGCCTCGAGGTACAGCCATTTTTCCACCCTGACACGTGGTCTGCGGCCATTTTTCCGTCCTGACATGTGGTCTGCGGCCATTTTTCCGCCCCTGACACGTGGTCCGCGGGCGTTTTTCTGCCCCGCCGCGTGGTGCGTGGGCGTTTTGCTGCCCCGCCGCGCAGCGCGCAGGTACTTTTCTGCCCCTGACGTGCAGCGTGCGGGCGTTTTGTTGCCCCGCCGTGCGGCGCACGGGCGCTTTGCTGCCCCTGACGCGTGGTCCGTGGACACCGGAACGGATTAACGGTAATTACAATGAACCTTATGGGAAAAATTGCTTCGGAGTGCGACTAAATTCGAAGGGCGGAACGGATTAACCGTATTTACATTGAACCTTATGGGAAAAATTTACCTCGACTTGCAACCAACTCGACTTGCGATCAAAGTCACGGAACGGATTAAGTTCGTAAGTAGAGGTACCACTGTATAATATACAAATGGAACAATGGGAAAATATGTGGATGAAAGGGTTAAAATTTACACTGTGTTAAAATTTACCTCGACTTGCAACCAACTCGACTTGCGATCAAAGTCACGGAACGGATTAAGTTCGTAAGTAGAGGTACCACTGTATAATATACAAATGGAACAATGGGAAAATATGTGGATGAAAGGGTTAAAATTTACACTGTGTTATAATTTGAAGGAGAATTTCTATAAAATGATGTATGGATGGTATATGTCACCAAAAAGATTATCAAAAATGTACAAAGGGGTTTCAAACATATGTTGGAAATGTGAACAAGAAGGGACTTTTTATCATCTTTGGTGGGCATGTAATAAGGCTAAAAAATTTAGGACCCAAATTCATATATTAATTCAGAAGATTTTGAAGGTTAATATACAGTTAAAACCAAAGACTTTCCTTTTGGGATTGATGGATAAACAATTGGAAAAAGCTCATGGACCTTTGTTTTTATATATGATAACTGCAGCAAGACTATATGCTCAAAGGTGGAAAGACTTGACATTACCCGCAAAAGGAAGAATGGATGGTGAAATTATGGAGCTAGCTGAGATGGCAAAATTGACAGCTTTGCTTAGAGAAAAAACACTGACTAACTTTAATGCCAACTGGAAGCCCCTTCTGGATCTTTTGCAGGAGACAGAAAAAAATGAAATCATGATATATGGATTTGATGATTAGTTAAAATAAGAGGTTATACAAAATATGTATGTTAAGATGTAGTTTTAGAGTAAGAGGTTATTATATGATTT